CTAGTTATATACTAGATAATCTCTTATATATATATAAACCAAGAACTTGTATAGTAAAACTTATAGTTTTAAAAACTTGGTTTTCTACGGTTTATCGAGGACGCGGATTTCGATTCCCAGCTCGACCTGTGAACTTCACCTTTTAGTGAGTGTCCCTGCTTGTTCTATGCTTATTTGGTTAAAGTGCTTTCGTGACTCGATATACGATAATTGGAAAATGATTGCTGATCCATCGAAAAGAGTAGTGTGTACTTTATCACACTAGCCTTTCGAGTGGTACCTTGTTTGAAGTGTTTTTCGTGAATATTTTGCTTGCGCTTGCTATAAGTGTTGGACGTAAAGTCGTTGGGTGAATCTCTCGACCAGTCTAAGGTATACTCGAGTATTACCACTTTCGTGCTTGGCGTGCGGGCCCGGTACAGGGGTATGATTGGTGGTCGGAGTTAAAAAAAAATAAAAAGATCTACACAGACCTTAGGTAATAAAAGTTGACGGAGGGTCGACTACGGAAAATTTTGATCAAGCTCGTGGAGACATGGCTCTTGAGAGCCCCTGTATCTTATCTTGTGCTGTTAAGCGCTTTTCTAATTGTTTACTTTAATTGAAGTCAATACTCGCTATTTGTTTTATGTGATTGTATGTTTTGGAGCACCACTGAGTTTTAACTCACCCCACGTTATTTTGTTTTTCTTGACAGGTTCTGGCATGTGAGAAAGACCTGAAATCTGCTTTACTTGTTATGAATGTAATTCGAATTAAACAGTGTAGTTTTGTTTTGGGTTGCCACTTGAAGCTGGAAAAGTGCAAACCTTGGTTTTGTTACTTGGCTTGTAAGAATGTATTTGGCTTGTATGAATTTGTTAAATGGGATTGTTTGACTTTATTCCGTGGCTTGTAACGCGTAAGGTATTTAAGAATCGACGAGTCGCTATCTTGAAGTGCTGTTATCTCTGAAGTTAATGTGGTCTTGATTATTGGTCTATTTTGGAGGACCACTATTGAAATAGCTTAAGCTATACTTCGGAAGGATTTGGGTTAGATTTCTTGCGTGAGTCCTGGCGAGAGTTGGGCAGACGGCCCGCCAACCTTCTGGTTCGCCTTAGGGGGAAGTGGGGTCGCCACAGTTGTGATCCGAAAAGATGGCCTCTATGTAAACGAGATGAAATAGCAAACAAACTTGAATATGAACATTATACTGTAGGCTACAATTACTTGATTCCTGGTAGGAACATGGCAGATGGCAAACAAATTTGGGTAGCTATAGAATCTCCTTCTCGAATTTACTGGTCTCCATGAAGTCACAATGATGGGTTCCTTGCCACAATGACATTGCTCATTGTTTGGATCCATTGTACTCTTCGATAGGTTGGCTTCTTCTGCGCATTTTCTTCCTATTCTTCCTCCATTGCACAGTCATCCAGTTGTAGATGAGTTTTTCTTCTTCGATTGTGATTTTTATGTGAGGCAATTAGGGTTTAGTTTAAGAAATATAAAGGAAAGAGGAAAAACTCAATTGGGAACGAAGTGTATTTTTCGATTTTACCCTTGAAATTATGCCCACGTGAGAAAAATGTGCAATTTTTAGTCGAAAAAATGAGTAAAGACAAGCATTAGGACCAAACTAGTATAGAATTTATATACTAGGAACTATTTTGGCTTATTTTAAATGTTATGAACTAAATTTTTTTTTTTGCAAACGTTTGGGACCAATTTGGCAAAATTTTCAATTAATTTAAATTTTTTTATTAATTTGCCCCTACTTACATCATAATAAATGGACTATATTCCCTTTGGACTAAATTGTCCTTACAAACCTTATTTTCTCACCCAAATTCTATATAAATACATAACCTCATCAATTAGGCTTGGCAAACTAGTGTTTCAATGAACTTAAACTTGGTCCAAAGAAAAATCTTCTACATAGGCTTGAACTTGGCTCATTTAAACTCTTAATGGGTTGAAATTTATTCAATTTAACCCTAACTTAGCCAAAACTCGACCTATTATTTAATTGAATTTCAAATTTAGATTAAAAAACTAGGTTAAAACCTATTTTTAAGGGTCTGAATGGGTTGAGTTTGAATGAATGTAAATTTTTATATATTAAAATCCTTGATTTACTCTATTCTAAAATTTCAAATTACTTTATTTTAATTAAATTTATAATTTTATAAATTATTTTATTAAAATAGTCCTACAAATTAAGGAATACTTTGGTTATTAAAATAGTAATTCCATCTCATCTAATGTTTAACCAAATATAGGGTTAGATTGTTTCTCAACATTTATATCCAACCTATGATCAACCAAACACTACATAACATGAATTATGAATTTGAGGATACCTCAATCCAAAATTAATAATCCGATAAGTAATCCCATCTCATTCAATCCATAAACCAAACGAACCCTAATGGCTTTTCATAGAGTTATCCGAGAGACATCTTATGTGGAATGGTTTCGTTAATATTTGTTTGATGTTTATCTGAGACCGTGAAATTCCTTTTCTGTAAATTGTACAAAGATTTGACATTTATTCAGACACAAAACTTGGATATCTCTAACACCTATCCTGTTAATCTCCATGGCTTTTAAACTAAACCCCGTCGTATGCTATCAAACAAATATTAATGGATTTCTTCGGTAGCATAGCCAGGCCACCTGACCTCCCCTCTGAACTTTCATTGCGTTGCACTTTTTAAACCTAAAGGACGTTTAACGAGAAAGGTTGTCAAAGCTTTTGAGAAATATCTTGTTGAGGTTTTGGATTCTGGGATTCTGGGGATACTTGCTAATGATCGTCAAAAGTTTATTTTAATTGGAACGTTTATTGTGCAAAGTGTTGGAACTTTTGCAGTTGAGAAGGTTAGGAAGAAATTCTAATTCTGAAGATACGTATTTGATATTTATCACTGATAATTTACGATATGCTATAGGGTCAGTCAATCTCATCCTTGTTTCGTCTTTCTTTTTTTTTCTGTTGTAAAATTTTGTTGATTTTGATTTGGTTTATCATATTTAATTTTTTTTTTGTGATTATATTACAAGAATTAACAAATGGAAGGCTGCGAGTCAACGGCAGGATCAGAGCTTCTAGTAGCAAACGGTGCTAGTGGGTGGCCTAGGCGGTGTGTGGCTGGGATGAAGGGGGAGATAGGGAGAAAGAGAAAGTAGGTGGATGAATAATTTTTAAAGATTTGGAGTGTCTCAAAAGCTCTGGATTTCATGAAATTACATTTATATCCCTATTAGATTTGATTAAATTAAATTATAATAATAACTAGCAGAATTGGCAACTATTCTGTTAGGTTTTGTGCATTCCGTCAAAATTTGGAGTGAAGTAGGACGGATTATATAGTTTAAGAATTTAAATGTCTCATTTTGAAGTTTAGGGACTAAAATGAAATTTTGGGTATAGTTCAAGGGGACAAAATGAAATTTACCCTTGCTGTAAATAGAAAAAATTGCAGTTGGTGTAATTTAAGCTGAAGATATAACACTGAACTTTCCGGTGGTAATACGGTAAAACACCTAGGGTTTTTCCTTTATGAACCCTAATGCATGGTTTGTCCTCTTAACCCAGGAGCAAGCCTCCCTTCCACTTTCCTCTCATTTCATCATATCTCCTTCCTTGGCTGTGCCCTTACCAAAGCCAAATCGAGATCTTCACTGCATACGTGCCCAGAATACTGGCCTTTCTCAATCTCTACTAATTCGATGGACCCTGAATTACTTTATCTCTTTTATCTTCTTCTGGTCTCTTAATCTGAATATTCTCATCATCTGGTATTCTGCAGCTCTTATCGTTGACTCGGCTAGCAAGTTAGCCTGCTTTGCATCTTTTTGGTACAGGTTCCTGTGCTCTGTGGTGCCGGTTTTTGGGGATTGAGCGAAACATGTGTTCAGTTTTCTTATCCTGTTTCAGTGAAGTCCAACATATGATCTGTAGTTCGATGATGAATCAAGGAAAGATGGCGGATTGCTGAACAGAACAGAACAGAATCAACCAACTTACATAGAATTAAATTAAATTAAATATACGATGATTTGATGAATTTTGCCCAAGATGATATGGTGAATTCTTTCATGATGTTTAGATGATGGTAAGCATGTCAGTTGCAAGTGTGGCTTGTTTTAACTGTATTAGTCGTTAAAAAAACTGTTGACTAAGCATCTGGTGCACTATTGTTTTCGCCCACTTTCTCATCGGCTTTTTCCTCTTGTGAAATCCTTTAGGTAGGTGAATTCGAGCATTTCAGGTGGTTACAATGAGGAAGAGAAGGTTGAAGGGTATTTTTCGACTGCATTCTGATGCAAGAAAGAGTTTTCAAGAGAATTTAAGAATCAGAAAATGAATTCAAATAAAAATGCAGATGCAATTCGTCGATTTTCTTGAGCCTTTCACTGCACATTCAGCTTTCCTCTTAATAGTGGGTAGTGATTTTCATGGGGATCAGCACCAAGGTGTATCAAATTTGGGTAGGGCAGAGTATGAGGTTCACAATTCTCATGCTGATGATCTAAACAGTTCAAATGGGATGATTGGTTCTCAAATTAAGACTTCAACTTCTGGGGATTGTGATCCTTTAGGAGCTGGAAAGAAGAAAACACACAGAAAGCACCTCACTTGGAGCTCTTTTTGCAAGGCAGCCTCTGAATGTTATGATTTTGACTTGGCAGCAATTTACTCAGCCAGAAAGTCTGATAAATGGAAGAAGTTTCAGCTCTAGAAATGCTGGTTGAAGCAGATTGGGAACACAACCGAAACTACCTGAAACCTTTCCAAGCATCCGAGTTTGGAGAGGGACCAACCCCATCGATTGGCTTTTCTTCTGAACAATCTGGAAAGTAGGAGGAAGCTATGATGGCTTCATATCCAGAGACCTCGGGAGCCTTCTTCTCTAGTCTTCAAAAAAAGAATCCAGCGAGGACTTGAATCAGAAATGCACTTACAGACTTTGGATAAAGGCTTGTTAAGTTATACATTCATTAGTTGCTTAAAAGCTGCGAAACATATGAAAACATGGAAGATCAAAATTCAACATGATTAGATGGTTCTTGTCAATCACTTGGTACGAAACTGATTGACTTATTTTTAACGGACCCCAAGCAAATGAATGATATGAGAAACTGCAGTCATCCATCCTCCAATTCTTGTGATCCAAACTCTGCCTTAGATTGAACAGTTGGAAAGTATCCTTTTCAACACTTCACTGAAGGAATATTTGCTACGAATTTGTGCTTTTGTTATAAGTTCTTTGGCATCATAAACTCTAGCTCTCATTATGCACGTCATTTCCTTTACTCACACTATGAATTGCAGGTTCTACTACAAATGGAGATTTGTCGATCAGATATCTCGATGAATATGGAGCAGGCATAAAAGCAGAAGCTTTTGAAGCAGATTTGCTTTCTTGTAGACGTCATTCAGAATCTCGTGGATGGAGGCATTCGTGGCAATGTTTGCCTCTATGAATACGCTGACTGCACCATCAAAACAAGGTAATCATACCAAATATGCTACCTTTTCTGTAGATCAATTAATTTTATGTTCTTCTCAGCCTGGCAGAGTATTACTTTCACTTCATTATCTCAGTTGCATCTAAAATAAGCATCCGTCTTTTCTATCACTTGGAAGTTAGCAGTAAATCTAAGAGCTATATCAACTCGACAATCATGGACTTCATTTTTTACGTTGAGAGCATTTTGTTTAACCTGCACATTGTTGTTTTTACGTTGAGACATGCTATGATCTTTGTAACAAAATGGCTATATAATTTTTGAGCTGACTTTTCTTGTTTAGCAACATATGATGTTCAAGAGACAACTACTTCAACTTTTAAGAATATTTATGTGCAAGATGCAGGCTAGCACTTATGCCTCTGCTGTTATTGTAGAAGCATGAATTCGCTTGTATCTGCTTCTAATGTGATATTTTGCGTTTGCCTCTTGTTTTCTCTTCAAATCTGCAGTAATAGCAGGGAAAAAAAAAAGAAAGAAAAACCCACATTTTAGATTGAAAAATGAAAAGGGTTGTCTTGATTCTGGAAAACAATTCTCTTTGCCTCTCACTCAGATGGCATTGCACTGTTGGAATTCAAAACCAGTCTGAATTCCAAAGTTGAGAGTTCTACTTCTACGATGTCAAACAACGAGAAATAACTGATATAAAATGCAAAAAACAGTACTGTATCTTCCTTTGTAAGAAAAAATAAATAAATAAAGTAATCAACAAAAGAAAGAATAAGTGAAATACTTCTTCTTCCAAGTAGTATTACCTTTAGGAGCGGAGTTAAACTACAGAGTCTGAGCGGGAGTAAGCAAAAGATTGAGGAAATGGGAAGGAGAGGAAAGTGAGGTGGAGTATGATAGTGTTTTTGAGCATCATTTAGGTTTCTGGGCAATCTGTATGGTGTGATGTTTGCATTTTTTGTGCCTTCTTTTCGGACTCATCATCTTCACCATTCTTCTTCCTCGTCTTTAACTACTGCACCACCCAATATAAAGAAAATAAGTTCTTGAAACGCTAAATTCATTTAACTCAGCTCAGAAAATGATGACCTACAAGCTTTTTCCGATTACTATTTTTCAATATTTATCGCTGGATCTTCTGTTTCAATTTTATTGATCAAAAAGATTTCAAAACTCTCACTTGCTTTTGATTCGTTTTCTTTTCTGAAATGGCGTGAACAGAGAACTTGCAGTCATGGCCAAATAATAGTTTAAATGGAATTCTTCTGATGATACTCCATTTAGATGGACTGGCATTTCTTGTCATCCACCAAAGTGCCATGTCTATAAACTTATCCTATATGCAACTTAGAGGGATTATATCTATCAGTATTGGTAAATTAAGTAAGATTGCAAAGACTGGCATTTCACCAATGCATGTATTATCCCCAATGCCATTACCAATCATTCTGATCTCAGAGCCCTATACTTGAGAGCTAACAATATTCTAGGAGGTATTCCATCAAGTATTGGGAACGTATCTCTCCTGACCTTATTGGAATTGTCAAGTAATTCATTTGGGTGTGCTACACCTTCATCTCTTGGTCGCCTGACACTTCTACATTGGCTGAATTTGCTGACAGATTTCTTCTTGCTGAAATCCCAGATATTGGAGTTCTAAGTTCTACTGGAAACAAGTGGTTAGTTGGTAAATTATATCTTTGTGGCCAACAAGCGCAAGAACCTTCTCAAACCTTCTGGTTTCCTGCAGTCTTGCCTCGAGTGAAAGTCATGAAGTAAGAGTGCCTACTAAAAGAATAAAATCAAAATCGAGCATTTCCTCCAGCTGCTGGGGGTTGAACCAAGGTTTGTTGTTTGCTCTAAAAATATCACATTCTATAATTAATGTTGTATATTCTTTTTTTTTTCCATCAAAATCTAATTTCAAGAATTGTTGCAACAATTGCTCCAACCGAAGTCGAATAGCTATTAATTCTGTTTGAAGTGTATTTGTCATGTTAGGAACCATGTCAAAAAACAAATTCCCTTCATATGTCCCAATCAATCTCTGAACAACCTTCCAACGTAACCAATTCTTTTTACCTTTTTATTTACTCTTTTTGAGCCATTCTGATATTCCACGCCATTTTCTTTCTTTATATCTTCTAATTGATTTTTTTTCACATCCTTTCCTTGGTCCAAAGATGCATCAACGTTGCATTTCAAACATCCCTCTTCGGGGTGGTGCCACCATAACACTTGTGGTGGTACATTCAAGGGATTGATGTGTCTCTTTGCCGGAAGAAAATCCTTTTGTTATGGTGACAGTACACAGATCATACACCTCGCCATCACATCACATAATTCAACTCTTTCAGCACATGAGATGCTGTTCATCCACTTATACCAGCCATCAGTTAATACAAGTCTTTTCTCACGTTCAATTATCATCTTATTGTCCTCAATCACCGTCGATCTAAGTTTCAAAAGTTAGGGAGCATACTTCATCAAGAGTCTATCTTGCTCCTCGTTTGTCTGTAGAATGCAAATACAAATTAAACAAATGATCTAACAAACACAAATTAAACAAATGAGATCAGATCAGGAATCTTTTAGCTAAGAAATTTAAGTAACATAAGGTGTTTAGATGACATACTGTTCAATACTAATTATTGTTGTCTGGTCATCAAACTTTAATTTCTTGATTTAATTAATGGATGTGTCACCAATTCAATTGAAACTCAATAATTTAAGAATGATTTAATCTAACAACAAGTTTAACAATAGAAACAAAAACATTTTGAAGCACATTACCATGAACTCATACAAGTGAATTGGGTCTTACTTAACACTTGATTAATTAAACAATTGAAATACTTAACACTTGAACAATTAATGGCACAGTAAAAACAAATAAAAAAGCATGACAGTTGCAACAATAAAATAAAAAAAAAGAAAAAGTTCAAGAAGAAAAGCAAAATCCAAAAATAAGTATTCCGTGTCAATCAGTAAATCCATTGATAGCAAATGAATGAACCCCAAAGTCTTGGGTGAAGAACAAGGACTAATAGTTCATAGAATATGAGAACTAGGAAATTTATAAATTTTACATACCAAAATGCATATCAAAATTACACATTAATTAATCGAGTTCGTCCCAGAATTCACCAAAGTTAGTATAACCGTACCAAAGGTTTAAATTTGTCTGTTAAACACGAATTTGTTCCTGATTGCCCTGGTGGCTGGTTCTGAGTCGTCCTTCACCAAAGTTGTTGCAGAACACAAATCATATCTCAGCCATTGTTTCGTTTGTACTCTTTTTTAAGTACAGAAATTGCCATGATCTTAGATAGCTTTTGACTAGTTAAAAAAATAGAATGAGAAATAGGTAAGTAGTGGAGGTAACTAGTAAAAAACTATCTGAGGTCATGGCATTTTATGTACTTCGAAAAAGAGTACAAGCTAAATAATGGTTGAGATATGATTTGTGTTCTGCAACAACTTTGGTGAAGGACGACTCAGAACCAGCCACCAGGGCAATCAGGAACAAATTCTTGTTTAACCGACAAATTTAAACCTTTGGTACTGTTATACTAACTTTGGTGAATTCTGGGATGGACTCGATTAATTAATGTGTAATTTTGATATGCATTTTAGTATTTAAAATTTATAAATTTCCTTGTTCTAATATTTTATGAACTATTAGTCCTTGTTCTTCACCCAAGACTTTGGGGTTCATTTATTTGCTATCAATGGATTTACGGATTGATACGGAATACTTATTTTTGGATTTTGCTTTTCTTCTTGAACTTTTTCTTTTTTTATTTTACTGTTGCCACTATCATGCTTTTTTATTTGTTTTTACTGCACCATTAATTGTTCAAGTGTTAAGTATTTCAATTGTTTAATTATTCAAGTGTTATGTAAGACCCAATTCACTGGTATGAGTTCATGGTAATGTGCTTCAAAATGTTTTTGTTTCTATTGTTAAACTTGTTGTTAGATTAAATCATTCTTAAATTATTGAGTTTCAATTGAATTGGTGACACATCCATTACTTAAATCAAGAAATTAAAGTTTTGTGACCAGACAACAATAATTAGCATTGAACAGTATCTTATCTAAACACCTTATGTCACTTAAATTTCTTAGCCAAAAGATACCTGATCTGATCTCATTTGTTTAATTTGTGTTTGTTAGATCATTTGTTTAATTTGTATTTGCATTCTACAGACAAAGGAGGAGCAAGATAGACTCTTGATGAAGTATGCTCTCTAACTTTTAAAACTTAGACCGACGGTGACTGAGGACAATAGGGTGATAATTAAACGTGAGAAAAGGCATGTAATAACTGATGGCTGGTGTAAGTGGATGAACAGCATCTCATGTGCTGAAAGAGTTGAATTATGTGATGTGATGGCGAGATGTATGATCAGTGTACTGCCACCAGAATAAAAGGATTTTCTTCCGGCAAAGAGACACATTAATCCCTTGAATGTAGCCCCACAAGTGTTATGGTGGTACCACCCCGAAGAGGGATGTTTGAAATGCAACGTTGATGCATCCTTGGACCAGGCAAAGGATGTGAAAAAAAGATCAATTGGAAGATATAAAGAAAGAAAATGGCGTGGAATATCAGAATGGCTCAGAAAGTGTAAATGAAAAGGCAAGAAGAATTGGTTACGTTGAAAGGTTGTTTAGAGATTGGTTGGGACATGTGACGGGAGATTTGTTTTTTGACACGGTTCCTAAAATGACAAATACACTTCAAACAGAATTAATAGCTATTCGACTTCGGTTGGAACAATTCTAGCCACAATTCTTGGAATTAGATTTTGATGAAAAAAAAAGGAATATACAAGATTAATTATAGAATGGGATAACTTTAGAGCAAAAGTTGTTGCAGAACACAAAGCATATGTCAGCCATTGTTTAGTTTGTACTCGTTTTTTAAGTACAGAAATTGCCATGATCTTAGATAGCTTTTGACTAGTTAAAAAAAGAGAATGAGAAATAGGTAAGTAGTGGGGGTAACTAGTCAAAAAACTATC